CAAAAAAAAAAACTTCTGTTGACAAAGAGCAGATGCTCGAAAAAAATGATTTTTATTACTTCGTTTTTTTTCCGATGTCATGTCACTATGTAACTTTTGGTTTCGAACGATCTTGTTTCGTTCGATCGTTGTTTTTAGCCAATTTCAAAAAAAAAAAAAATTCTAACCGTCAAGGCAATATATATTTGAAGCGTTCGACAATCATCGACATATGGTCATATGTTTGAAACAACAACGATAATCAAAATGAACCCTAGGACACAAACCAAACAAACACACGACAGCTGTCGGTTTGGCTCGTGACTTTGATCATCGTTCGACCATCATCATCATCATTGATATTGTTGTTGATGATGGTTCAACAAGTCTGTATAGAATATTGTGTATTGTTCATTCAAATGATTTGCTTGTTGATCATAATGATGATGATGGTGATGGCACGTGGTGGGTCGTAATAGTCGTCGATATTTTTTTTTCGTCTGAAAACCTTTGTTCCTTATTCTAATCTGGAACAATAGAACTAGAGACTAGGTTTTCCTCCCCCCTTTCCATTATATCATCTAACTGTTTTTTTTTGTTGTTGTTTTCACTACTGGGCACATTGACGATCCAGGAACAATGTAAATTTTTTTTCTGTTTGTTTGTAATAAGCTAATGCCATGCGACTGGCATACAGTCATATTGGTTGTCTTTTTCCCCTCTCTCTCACCCACTCTATGATTATCTGATAGAGGTTTATTATTTTTCTGTACCTCAGGTAACATGTTTCATACCTGGTCGACATCTGTTCGAATTTTTTTTCATTTGGTTTGGTTTGTCCATCATGAATATTTTCTGTGTTTTTTTCTAGATTTCTAGGCCATTGAATTTGGCTATTGCTGCTGGTATTTTTTATTTCTGTTTTTGCCAAATTGAATCTAATGATATTTTTTGTTTGTAAAAAAATACCATTGAGCACTTTGCATGGTTGTATTTTGTCAATCTGTTAGATTTCAAAACGAATATTAGTGATTTTTAATGAAAGATGAAAGTTTTCGCCTGATGATGATGATGAAAAATGATTCTCAAATGTTAATCAATGATCAACCATCAATATCAATTATGATCATCATCATCATTAGTTGATGACAACAAGAATAGAATTTGATGATATTTTGTCTTATAATAATGAAGATGTCACCTGAATTTTACTTTTTTTTATGTTTTGTTTGGATAATTTATCATCATCATTATGTTGTCCATGTGATTTTCACGATGAAATAATTTCGCCCAATGATGATTATTCTGACTGAATTTTTATGTCATTTTTTCTTGGTGGTAATCATCTTCACAGAATGATTCTTTTCATCTAGTGTTTCTTTGTCTTTTTTCTAAATTATCTGGTTTTTTTTTGATTAATGATTGTTTTTCTGCCCTGTGGTTTGTTCAATTCGGTAAATTCACTAGTTTTTTTTTACCAGTTTTTTCTGGTCACATCATGGTTTGAGAGTGACATCTTTAAACAACAACAACAACAAAAAAGTTGAACTAAAAAAAATAATAATTTAATACTTTGATAAACCGACTTTTGATCCGGTTATTTCTTGTATAACTCTTCTGTTGTTGTTGTTGTTGTTTGATCATCAAAAATATCTTAGACATGCACACAGACACACACAGACTTGTAAAGAAAAATTTACCGTAAATAAATGAAAAAAATGGCCAAAGATAAATCATTGGCCATCGAACCCTGAATGAAAATGACCTGTGTGTGTGTGTCATATTAACCTCGTTTTTTTGTTGTTGTTGTTGTCCGACTTGATGGTAATTTTCCTTTTTTCTTTCATCATCATTCGGATATGTCCAGTTATACAATCATTATCTTCCAGTCACTGGACAATGAACTCTGTTTTTCTTTTTGTCTAAAAGGTGAATGTATGTCTATCTATCTTTTCCTTTTTAGATTTTCGAGAGAGAAGAAAGAAGAAAAAAAAACTTGAAATCAAAATCGGTCATACAATTTTATTCGTCTGATAAAAAAAAATTGTCCGAGATTGATTCCCGTTGTTTCGAAAATTTTCATTTCATTAAGAAAGTCAAAAATAAGAAATAACGGGAATCTCTTTAATTTCAGCAACAAGAAAGAAAGAAAGGTAAACCGGTTCTTCTTGAATTGCTCAACAGAAGAAAAAACCAATAGAAAGAGAAAGTCTTGACGATTTTATTATGCCAATGATGATGATGATGATGATGATAAAAGTGGTCAATAACCCTTGTATGAGAAAGTTTTTGCTTTGTTTTGTTCTTTATATTAACCTAAACTTATCTGGGCAATTTTATTTATTGTTCTCAATCAGGTTGATGATGATTATGTGATTAAATCACAAATGAATGAATGATTTTATTGTTTGATTTGGATTCATTTTACCTATTGATTTGATTGATTGATTGAAAAAAAACTATAGTCTAATTTTCAGTTTAACAATTTTTTTCTTTGCTCATCGGTTTTCACCTGTAGAATTACCCGATTTTTTCTGTTTTGAATTGATTGATTTTTTTTTTGGTTAGTTACTAATTAAACAATCATTATCACCACCAAAACAAATCAAAGTTATGATTAAGTAACCAGGTCGAAGCTTTTTTCTTTTTCTTTTTAAATACTTGTAATCAAAAGTTGTCGTTAGATCTTTTTTAAAGTCTTTTGTGGTGGTGGTGGTTCAAATAATAAACCCAAACCACAAATGATAACAAACTATTTTTTACCGGAAATTGTTGTTTGACAATTTCCATAGATTTTGCTATGTTTGTTATGCCAAAAAAAGAAAGTGTCGATTAATGATTATTTCCGTTTGTTTTTTGTTTGTTTGTTTGAATGGATCAATTTCCGTATGTTCTGTGGACAAATGGATTATAATGATGAAGAAATTCATTTCATTTCATTCATCAAAGAAAAACAGCTTTTTTCTCTGTTGCTTGACCAGATTAATCAATCTTTGGTCAAGTTTTGTGTGTGTGTATTGCCATTATGTTTAACAAAATCAATGTCCGGTCATTTTTTTGCTGTTGTTGTTGTTCACCTAGTATTACCGGAAATTATTTTTTCAAATGAAGAAAAAATCTTGCCTTTATAAAGAAAGATATTTCTGGTTCCTTGTTTCAGTAAATATCTCAGGTAACGTAGCTTAGTTAGTGTTTATTTTTTATCATCATCCGGATATTTGTATTATTAGGATAGGTAGCTAGATTGTAAATTAGTTTCCTTTTATGATTTTGTTTCCTATCGATTGTTGTTGTTGTTGTCGTCGTTGATCATCATATTTCAAGACCTTTGACCTTTTGATGACATATTAGATTCTATGTGATTTTAATCCACCGCCTTGATTATTATTAGTGACCACCCACTTTTGTTGTTGTTGTTGCTGTCCCAAAAAAATGTTACCTTTTTTTTTGTAAAGGTGTGATATTCATTTAGATTTTGTATGTTTTTCCATATAAAATAATAATAAAAACCGACAAATTCAAATTTGAAAAGATTTTTTTCTCCCCCCTCCAAAATTCAAATAAAGAAACAAACAAAAAAAAGGATAGGCCATATATTTTGGGGCTAGGCGTTTTATTTTGGAAAATAGATGGGGGGAAGAAGATCTGTTGAATCGACATCTGTTGCCTATTTTTTTCTCCCCTCTTCCTTTTTTAAAAAAAAAATCTCACCCTCCTTTTCCACTATCCACACAGTTAATTTGGGTGTTAGGTTAGGTTTTGTATAATAACAAACGTAAAAATAAATTGAATGAATGAATGAACGGAGGAAACGAGGAGGTTGAGGATTTTAAAAATAAAACCTAACATTATTTTCGGGTATTTTTGTGTTGACTTCAATTTTGGAATAAAGAAACAAATGAAGAGAATGAAATAAGCTTGTTCCTAGCTTGATATTTTCGATCAACAGCTGTCCATGTCCAACAACAACGATTGCTTCACCATTATTTTCAAAGAGAGAAAATGAACAGAAAACTTTCGATTTACAAGATTGTTGAAATCAACAACAACAGAAATTGAAAAATGATGAATTTTGATCCAAAGTGATGTTTTATCATTATGATTCACAGATCTAAATCATCATTATCATTATGTGGAAATAGCAGTTTTGTATGATGACTACGTCATCATATACAAAATGATATAAAACAAAGTTATCCTGTAAATAACAAAAAAAAAGAGATACAGTGATATCGAAATTGAGAGTTTATATTTTTGCGTTACCGAACGAAAAAGAAAAAGAAAAAGAAAAAGAGAAATAGAAATAGAGAAAAAAGAGACCAACGACGACTACCATTATTTCATTGATGATGATGATGATGATGATGATGATGGATAATCGTTTGTATGGAGACCAAACGTGCGTGGCATGTTATCTTCGTTTTTTCGTTTCGTTTCTCGTTTTGTTGATTTTCGAATGAATGTGGTATGAATCTTCCTTGCATACACTTACATTTATTTGTGTGCCGTAGTTCAACGGTGATGGTCATATATTTTATTTTTTTTTTGATTTTCAATCGATCGAAAAAAAACTTTAAAACGGAATTTTAGATTTTTGTTTTGTTGTTGTGTGGTGGTTTATCGTCCAATTCAATCAATGATCTCTGATTTTTTTAATACAAAATATTTGTTGATTTTTTTTGATTCAGTTTAAATCATTTGCAAAATGTTGAAAAAATGAAATGATTTTTATCCTTTTGTTTTGTTCAAAAATACCGTTATTCACACTATAAATATCAACGAATATGATTCGAATCGATTAATTCGTTCATCACTTTGATCTTTTTTTTAATGATAATAACGATTGTGCATGCTGTAAAAAGCTACCTATTTCCTTTTCTTGCATCATCATCATCATGATAGTTATCGTGCGTGTGTCCGGTGTTTAGCAAAAAAAAGTGTGGATGTTTTTTTGTTTTATTTGTTACCCTGTTTTCAATGTGAACATTTTATTTGTTTGTTTGTAATAAAAACCAACCAAGAAAAAAATAATAAATTTTTCATAATTCTCTGGTCTCAAAATGTTTTCTTCGTTTGCTGATTGGTATGATTGATTTTTGTTCCTGTTTATTTGTTTGAGAAAATGCTTTTTTTTCATCTAAAATTTTTAAAATTTTTCTAAATTTTTTTCCAAAATTCTCCCAAATATAGGTCGTCACAACAATCGGCTGTGAATACAACAACAACAACAACACAAAAAACATCAAATAATCTTCCAACAACGGATGTACAATTTCATCAATTAACAATTTCATCATCACCATCATTGGATCGACATCATCATCATCAACAACAACAACATCTTGAATCATTACCAGAATTATCATTCTATTCGATTGGTTCTAATACTACTACCACTAATAATACTCAAGGAAATCAAAGAAATTTTCAATTTATCAAAGATAATAATCAAATATTATCATCATCATCATCATCATTAACATCGAATAATATTCAACAGGTGTCAATATATCCAACAATACAATTATCAACTATAACCGGAAATCAAAATATTGAAGCATTTGTTCAACAACAACAACAGCCATATTTATCGTATAATCATCATCAATTGCAATCACAATCATCATTGCCATCCATAGGTGCTATTTCATCAACATCAACAACAATTGTTCCAACAAATCGTTTACGTTCATTGATACAACAACAACAAAACAAGTTATCGTTAACAAATCTTCATCATCAACAACAACAACAACAACAACAACAATCACGACAACAAAATCAACGTATCAATCAAACAAATCAATTGAAATTAAAACAACAACGACGTACAACAATACATCGTCAAACGATAACCAATTCAAATCAACATTGGACAATAAATAGTTTATGTTGTTGTTCATTTAGTCAACGATTTCCGCATTCATTTTATCAACATCATCGTTATAAATTGGATAGTCTTATAAGACATAATAATAGTTGTTTACCATCAACTTCATCATCCGATTCTTTATCATCATCATCATCAATATCGGCTGCAACATTATCATTAAATCAATTAATTGCAGCTGATTCTCGTCAACAACAACAACAATCAATATCCGATTCATATTCATTTTCAAATATCATAATGGGACAAAAATTTAGCAATTTTATGGGTACTAGCGGAAGTAGTAATAGTAATAATAGTAGTAGTGGTGGTGGTGGTAATGCTGCTATTTTAAATTCACATACAGTATCAGCAGCAGCAACAATGGCACCTATAGTCAATGATATTGGATCGATGGTTAATAATTCAAATAATTTAAACAAAACTGTGATGCGTGATCATCATCATAATCATCAACAATCATCACCATTCCATAGTACATCACCATCTCATCATAATCATTATCATCAAGATGTTTCACCATTTACACATTCATCATCAATACAATCAGCTTCATCTTCGGCATCATCATCACCATCAATATCGGGTGCTAATTCACCAGCATCAATGTCACCATTACATAATCATAATAATCATAATCATAATCATCAACAACAACCAAATTCTATACCGATGAATCATGATACATCATCAACATATCATTTTTGTTCAAATAATGGTCATTGTGCCTTAGAAGAACCGGAAAGGCCTGCTAGATTAGATTCATTATTAGATATGCCACCGGTATCATTACAGATACAAAAACAACATGGTTGGAATGAAAATGATCGTTCATTAAATATAATTGTTGTTGAACAAGATCCACGTATTGTACATCGTCATCCTGTTGCACAAAGTACTGATTGTGTACGTGGTCTAATTGGTTATACAAAAGGTTTACATGTTTGGGAGATTAAATGGCCATTAAGACAACGTGGAACACATGCTGTTGTTGGTGTTGCAACCGCTGAAGCTGCCTTACATTCAAATGGTTATCATCCATTAGTTGGTGCAACGGCCGAATCATGGGGTTGGGATCTTGGACGTAATCTATTATATCATGATCTTAAATCACAAAATTATGGCCGTCATTCACCACGTGATAATAATAATTATGGCCGTATTTATCAACATCAATTTGCACATGATCCACAATTTGTTGCACCAGAATCATTTTTAATTGTATTAGATATGGATAAAGGAACATTAGCATTTATGGCACATGGTCAATATTTAGGTATTGCATTCAATAATGATGGTATTAAGGGTAAAACCTTATATCCAATTGTTAGTTCTGTTTGGGGACATTGTGAAATTACATTACGTTATATTAATGGATTAAATCGTAAGTAAACCCCTAATCATTTTTTTCTTTTACAAAACAAAACATAAATCTCATAATGATAGTTATCTGGTTGACCAATATTTTTTCTAATTATTCCATTTCTTCCTATTTTTTTCGGTCATTAATTTTTTTTTTGATTCAAAACTTGTTTCTCTTTTCTCCACAAAAAAAAGAACATATTCTGGTTTTGTTCTTCCTTTATATTAAAAAAACATCAATATGGGAAATTAGGAATGAATGACAGATAAATCTAGAGATTGTCTATATGTAATGATCATAATGATGATGATGATAGACAAATTTAGATGAAAAAAGCTGATGACAATCATTCATTCATTCACTTTCTATATTTCTATTTTTACATGTTTTGTTGGGGCGTTTTATTCATTTTTATTTTCGTTTTTTTTTTTGCAAAATGAAAATGAAAACACGGCAGTCGCTGCTGAATGATGGCTTTTCTAGTTTTCATTTTCATTCATTTTCTTCTTTCTCGCTACAATTAGGTCACTAAACCACTTGTTGTTGCTAGTTGTTGTTGTTGTTGCTATTTTAATACCGTTACAGGTTTTGTATTCGAAATGAAAACTATTCAATGGGCGCCAAGTGTTACATCATTTTCTCTTTTTTTTGATGAATGAATTTTTCGCCTATTCCAATAATGATGTTTACCATTCGAAAATAAACATAGAAGACCTGAAATGAAATGAAATGGATGTTTATGTTTATGGTGGGAGCCATCATAGCGCAATCCTTTCACTCACCTGTATCAATCATTGATGATGGTGGTTTTTTTTTCTTTCTAAAGCCACTTTCTCTTTCAAAAATCTATTGAACAAACAATATGAGTTTTTTTTAAATCTTTTTTTTTCTCTGTAATCGATTGAATTTTTTCGTTTTATTTTCGTTGTTGCTATTTTTATAAACATTTTTTCCAACATCAATCAATATTCCTTCGTTTTTTCTGTTGTTTTGACATTATTTGAGGAGAGAGAGAGATGGAGAGATTTTCATCTAGTTCTTAATTTTCATTTTTATCATTTGTCAATCAAATGATCAAATGATCTTCTTTTTTCCCTACCAAAAATGATCTATCCCAAAAAAAAGCAAAATTCAATCCATATATAACAATACTAACTGATGATATTTGTAGATTTTGTTTATGGCAATTGACAATTGATGGATAGATTTTCTTTCTTTCTTTCTTCCATCTAACATATTATTCACACAGGTAGATTTTTTTTTTATATTTGTTATTGTGAAATTCACAAACACACACACACACACAATTCAAATGTCCGGAAAAAATGTGAGAAAAAAAAGAGTTGATTGAAGGATGTCCTGTTTTTTTATATTTCATTTTTGCTGTTAAAATTGTCGATCCAACAAACAAAATATAACAATTGTTGAAAATGATTATCATGATGATGATGATAATTGTAATGGATGCAACGGAAAAAAAGGCGTCAAGTTTTTCATTTAGGATTTTCTTCTTCTTTTCCCATTTCATTATAATGGTTTTCATTCATTTCATTTCATTTCCTTTGGTTTTTTTTTGTTGTTGAATGCTTTCTGATGAATCTGATCCATTAGTTTGAATGGAAAAATTCGTTTGTTTCTGAAACATTTTGCAATTTAGGCTAGGTTATTGATGATGATGATGATGTTTCGGTATTTCAATTTATTTAAATTTCCCTTGTTCATTTCTTCTCTATATATAGAGTGTGCTAATCGATTTTAGAAAGAAAAAAAAAATTGAATTGAATTTGTTTTCTTTCTGTTTTTGGTTGTTGAAATCGTTTTTTTTCCTTCTACCATTTCCGCCATCTGTTCATTTGCTAAAATCTTTTTTCTGTTTTTTTTTCCATTCATCACAAATGTCAATATTGATAAGTGTTAAAGGAACAAGAAGAAATTTTTCTGAATGAAATTTTGGTAGTTTGCTCTTTGGTGTGTTTTCGTTGTCGTCGTCGTTGTTTGTCCTTCGACCCTATGACCTAGGCTTGACTTTAGACACTGTTCTCATTTTTTTTTATTTTTGCTTGCTTGTGAAAATTTCGGTTACTTAAAAATTATATGAATGAAAATAGTGATGGTGAGGACGTATTTCATTCATTTCCTGTTCATTTTATAAGTTAGATTAAGCATGAATGAAAAAGAAAAATCTTCACTTTTTGTGTGTGTGTAACCTTTTTGCTATTTTTCGATGAACCGATTGACCTTAGACAATATTTTAGATCCATAAGATCTTTAATCTACAGTTTTGGTTTCTTGTCATTTCTATGTATTTTTCTTATCGGATGGATGTTTGTTTGTTGATGAATGAGAAAATGAATTTTTTTTTCCGTTTTTTGGTTTATCTTGGTTTACGGAAACATTTCCGTAAAATTTCATTTTATCTGATCTGGTTAATGGTAAAACGGAGAAATTTGACCGAAAACATCGTGGATTGATTAATCGTTTTTTTTTAATTTAATTATCACATCCAAAGAAAGAAAAAATGACAATTGTACACTTGAGATTTCATAAAAAAAGAATGATTGATTTGACCATTGTGCCATTGTGAGATTTTGGATTCTTGGAAATTTTTTCTCATTTATCATTTTGATTTCAACCACATTTAGTTGGGTTTATAGATTTTGAATTTACGGAAAGTGAATGGAAATCATATTAACTAATCATCATATATCATCATTGAGATGTTTTGTTTTGTTTTGAAACTTTTTTTTGAAAATTAACTAATTTTTCTTTTCTTTTTTTCAATTTTTAGCTGAACCATTACCATTGAAAGATATTGCACGTCGTATGATACGTAAACAATTGGGAAGACATCGTTTACATATGATTGAAACAAAATTTGATCTACCATCCGTATTGAAAGATTATCTACAATATAAAGATCAAGTATTTAATCTGAATTGGAAACCAATGTAAAAAAAATCGAATCAATTTTGTTCAATCATTTTCTTCCGGCCGAATTTCAATGTCAAATCATCGTCATCATCATCAACTTATCAATCCACCCCAACCAAAAAAAAATAATCCATCCATAATTTTCCAAAATTTTTTGTTGTTTATAAATCTTTTCTTTTTTTGCTAAATTATATTTCCTTTTAAAAAAATGTCGAAACAAAACAAAAAAAACAAAACAATATTCTATCTATTCTATCTTACCAACTGGGGGGAAAAAATTTCAATTTGAGAGGAAAACCTTTACTCATTTCGGTTAAATTCTGGTCAAACACACAAACACACACACACACACACACAACATATTTTACGATTTTGTTTTATACAAATTATAATCGATTGATGATGATGATTATATGATATTCAAATACGGCATTTATTTACCAACAAACAAAAGACAATTTTATACAATTTGTACAACAACAACAACAACAGAAAAATTTTATTAATTTTAAAACAAACAGTTTAGTTTATCATAAATTAAAATCGATTTAATTTGATTTGTTTTACATTTTTTTTTAAAACCATAAACTTAAATGATTGTTGAAAACATTGTTGTTGTTGTTGTTCTGTTTTTCTACCTGTCTGTGATTCAATCATTCATTCATTCATTCATTGATCATTTTCATCTTTTTTTTCAAGGGAGAATTTTTTTATAAATTGATCAGGTAGTCTCCCGAAAATATTGATATTTTTTTTTGTAACAACCAAACAAAAATTCCATTACAACAATATTAGAACAACACATTATCATGATATTTGCTCATACATTGTTTTTTTTCATTCATACCCAAACACATAATGTATTGTATTGATAATTTACAATTGATAAATTCATATTCAGACATTCGTACCAAGAATTTTAAATACATTTGATGAATATACAACAACAACAATCAAATCAAATCTATCAACTAATCATTATCTCAATGAATTAACATTAAATTTGTACAATTTTCTACTTTTTTTCCAAACACACACACACCACACATACACACAAATACAAACATAATTCAATCGCTTAAAGTTCAAAAAAAAATTAATTAAATCTTTTTAAGAAAAAAATTTTCGATTCTTGTTTTCTCTCGCGCCGCTTGTGAATCAATATTTTGGATCATTTGAAATGTTTCATATAAATTCGAGGCAATTGCAACGCCATCTGTTGTTTTAAATTAGAAAGGTGTATTTTTTGAAAAATTCTATTTTTTTTTAATTTGTAAATCTAATTTTTTAGCCAAATGTTTTTGTGGTTTCTCTCTCTTAACACTTTTCATTTGGAATTTTCAATTTAATCTTCTTTCGTTTCTTCTCCTTCTCCTTCTTCTTCGGTTTCAGCATTTTTATTCTTCGTTTCGTTATTCTTTTCATCTGATGGTAGATTTTCTTCTTCACCAACTTTTCCACCATCTTGAATTTGTTGTTTAGTATCACTAGCTTCTAATTCAGCATCATTTTCAACAACTTCAGCAGGATTTTCTTCATTTTCATTAAAATTGCTAGCTGCTTTAGCTTGAGCTTGATTTTCATTTGATTCACCACCACCAGTTGTTTTGCCCGTAATTTGTCCTTCGTTTGGTTCAAAATCAATAGCCGACAATGCACCAACTCTTGATGATTCACGTTCAATTAATTCTGTACTTGCTTTTATGCTTAATGGTACTAATTTTGCTGTCGGTACATCAAAATAACGATCCGTAAGTATTCGATCACAATCAATACGACCTTTTGGTTCAAGAACAAATATTTTGTTACATAAACTACGAACATGTGCATTCATTTCATGTTTTCGTACAAAATCACGCCATTGATTTGAGAATTTTGTTTTATCATCACGTACATTGAATGGATAACGTTTTGTTGTCATTGATACTAACAAAACACCTATTGACCAAATATCTGCTTTAGATGGATCATATGATTTTTGAAATGCTTCAGGTGGTAGAAAATAATTTCTTCGTACACGACGTTCAACACTTTGTAAATGTACTTTTTTCGTTTCAATTTGATAATAAAAAACTGCTTTACTCCATCCACAAAGTTTAATCTTATTATTCATATCGAATAGAATATGTTGTAATTTTAGATAACGATGTGCAACACCTAATTTTTGTAAAACACTAATACCGGATACAATTGCACGCATATATTCACGTATTTCATCCGGTTTTATTGGTGTTGGTGATTTAACTAAATCATACAATGTTGGACTAACTTGATATTCATCCATAAAAATATATAGCTTCACTGAGTCCATCTAGGGTTGTCAAAATATAAAACAATTAGTTTTTTTTGAAAGAAATACCTGTAGATTTTTACCTGAAATACTTCATAAATTTTTGGAAAAATTACTGTCATTGAATTACGTCTCATTGTTGAAACATAACGCATAATACGAACCGAATATCGAAGTAAATTTCCACGAAATCTTGGTGAACATTCAGTTAGATTGGTAATTTTTACTGCAATTGGTGGTTGATCTGAATCCGATGATGATTGAAGTTTATCTTTTTTTTTCGCTCGTAAAATTTGTGAATATTCTGTTTGATTCAAACTATTTGTTCGATCAATAAAATAACCGGCCGTATTAATAGTAGCTTCATTTCTTATAACAATAGCACCGGGCATTGATTCAATTTTATGAATTTTACTTATAATATTTGTTGGTATTGATATTTTATCATGACTATGATGATGTGTATATTTAATTGATGATTCTTCTGATGATAATTCTTGTTCGCGATTTTTTTTCAATCGATTTGTTTGACGATTTTGTGATTTTGATTGTGTTTGTACTGGTTGTTGTTGTTGTTGTTGCTTTGGTTTAGATATACGTTTTATTGTTCGCGATTGTTCATCATCATTATTGCGATTTTTTGCCATTTTTTGTGGCCTTTGTTGTTTATTACCTATAATCGTGTGCAACGAAAAAAAACTAAAATAATTATTAATCAATAATTTACATTTATATTTGGTTTTTGTATAACCATAAAATTTCAAATGGATATAATATGTGGTTTTACCTTGAACTGAAAACTACGATTTTTTCTATAAACAAACTTAAATAACCTTTTTTTATTTATATATGGTTATTTATTATTATTATTATTATCGAATAAATCTAAAAATCGATTGGTTTTTCATTAGAAATTTTTCAATTGTTTTTATTTTTTTTTTAAATTTAATTTTCATGGGGAAAAAAAATTCTCGAATTGCTTTTTTATTATTATTCTTCAGATTAATTTCATGAGAGTTAATGGATGAAAAACATGGATGAAAAAACAAGAAAGAGAACAATGACACCAATAATAAGAATATTTTTTCATTGAAAATTATGATTACCAAATCGATTCTTTCAAAACAATTTTATTTATGGTACCTAATCATGATTTACCTATATATTGTAATCAAAAATTTTATTTTGTTTTCTCAAAATTTTGTTTCAATTTTGAAAACTTTCACTTACACTACTACCAATGTGATCACACTTTCAAGAAATATTATTTGAAACACGATCGAATTTTCTTTCCATGATATGAAAATAATGGTAATAAAAAATTGCTTTTTTTTTGTTTTCATTATTCAAAGTTTGAATATTTAATGACAAATACCGGAATATCATATGACTTATTTGACAATCGGATGACGATATGATGAAAATTAAAATGTAAATTTAGGTACACGTCAAAATCCTATTGAATAACACAAAAGTATATAATTTTTTTTTTGCTCCATAATGATAATTACTTTTGTTAGTGTGTCAATTTATTACTATATCTCTCTCTCCCTCTCTAGTTAAATTCGTCTTTTGTTTTGTTTCTTTTGTTTTGTTTGAATATTATTATTATTATTTCGCTTCATAGTTTAAAAAGAACAAAATTTTTTCTATATAAATATTCATCAGTTTAATAAACGAAATTCATTTGTAATATGATATGGATATGGATTCTCGATTGTTTAGTGAAAAATTTCCATCATTTTTATCATCATCATCATCATCATCATCGACAAAATCTTCATCAACACATCCATTAACATTGAATCATTCATCAACATCATCAGAATTGAATCTAAATAAATCGTTTAATCAGGTAGTAGTAGCTGATGATTATTCATTAAAGTTTGCATCAAAATTATTTTTATTCATAACATTATTGGGTACAACATTTCGTGGTTGTTATTTTAATTATTTTTGTCATTCAAAAATTTATCAAAATTATTTAAAATGGTTATCATATCTATATGAATTGATTACATTTATTGGTCTATTGTTATTTATGCAAGATTTATTCGATACAAAAATGTTTCAAACATTGTTTAGTCATTCAAACAAAACTTATACAATGACATTTGTATTCAAATTGGCCGGTTTTTGTTTATTATTAGAACAAATTGTTATGAAATCAATGACATTATTGAATGGTCCAAATATTTTGAATATTGTTTATGAAATTGCTAAAAATTGTCATTGGAAACATAATGAACGAATACGGAATCGTTTACTATATTTTTATATATTATTTCAATTATTCGGCAATATTTTTGGTTATTTATCCATTTCGATTTTTGTTGGTCATTCATTTAAAAAGAAATTAATCTATTTTGTTTGTGGAATTATTTTTTCTTCAAATAAACTTTCAGTTACTTTGATACATTTTTTTGTATCAATTTTGATTAATCATCGTATTCAAGGTAATCAATAAGAAAATCAATAAATTTGTTTAAATTAATTTATTTTGCCCCATTGAAAAAAAGGCTGGAAAAATCGATTCTATCAATATAAAAATTATTCATTATTATTACTCGAAATTATCGAACAACGTAATCATATAAAAGAATTAAACAAACAATTATCATTGATGATATTTGTAAAATTAATTTCCAATTCGATTGAATTAGCTGCTATAATTTGTATTCTTGAAGATTTATTATCAACTGGACAAGATTTTCGATTAATATTTGCCATAATTTGTTATCTATTAACTACATGGTTTGAATTATTTGCTGAATGTTATACATCACAATCAATGCATGATCAAATGAATGATTTTATTGAATCAACACAAAATTGTTTTGCTACAATGTCAAATAAATCGATTTTTATTCATAATGATGATAATGATGATCATTCAAAACAACATAATCATAATCGATTAACGAATAATAATACAAATACAAAAAAAATTATACGTTCTATGGATGATGATGAATATAGATGTTTAGATCAAATATCACGATTAGAAGAAAATTTCTATTTTTCAACAATGGGATTTATTGTTTTAAAAAATTCAATATTATTAACAATAATGGGAAATGTATTTAGTTTTGCCATTTTACTTATACAAACTAAATAAATAATCATCTTATTCGATACATATTGTAAATATACACCGTACATTAAATGACAAACAATTCTTATGTAATTTTAGTAAAATAGAAAATTGACGATCGAGAAAAAAAAATCGATTCGTTTATTCAAACAAATATTAAGGTTCAGTAAATATTATAGGTAGAAATATTATTCAAATAAAGTTTTTTTTTTAAATTTCAAACAACAACAAAAAAATGAATTTTCATTTTCAATCGATTTTTGTTTTTGAAAACGAATTCAAAAAAAAATTCAAATGATGAATAAAAAAAAAGTTTGTCATTTCGATACAAAATAACAATGGCAAAAGTTCATAATTTCGAATCAAAATCATTACATTCAACGGATTCGATTATGAAAAAAATTGATCATCATCTATATCGGATAATTTTATTTCAAACAATATTCGGTTGTACATATATGGGTGAATATTTTCACCGAAATAAATTGAAAAAATTTCAAAAAATTTTGGTCAAATTATTTGTCTTGACAATTGAATTTTTATATGGAATTTTTTCATTATGGATACTTTATCTATCGACCAAAAATGTTTCAGCCGATTTACTTTTCAGTGATACAGCTGTACATAATACAATGGATTATCTATTTCGTATATTTCATTTATGCATTTTTCTTACAGCATCTTTCAATAAATTTACTAATATTTTTCGTGGTCATCATATTATTATCATTCTAAATAATATTGGTTCAGATATTAATTTGTCAAAAAGTTATCGAATTTTTCATTATAGACTAATCTATTTAGTTATTGTCCTTAATATGGTACTTAATGCAACATCATTTGGTCTTTTTGCATCAATTATTGAAAATCATTCAATTCAGTTTAATTCATGTTTTGGAATAGCTGGAATAATATATGGAAATAATTCAGCATGGATAACTGCTATACATATTTACACAGCTATCCTGGTGAATGAACGAATTCAAAGTAAGTAATTGTTACCAAACATCATTACGAAATCAATAATTAATAATTGTTTACAATTAACTTTTTTTTTAAAAAAAAGTTTACAAAGAACAATTACCTAAATTTTCAAATTATGGTATTTTGTTACAAGAAATGATTCGTTTAAGTGACAATATTCGTCAAATTAATCGTCTACTATCGACAGCAATGTTAACAAAAACATTGACTAATGGTCTTATGATGGCAACCTGTATCTGTACATTGGATCATCAATTAAATACTTCAAAAATTGGATGGTTATCAATGATTTCTCCAATGGCTGATCTGTTCGTAATGTTTATTGATCTATTGTTCAGTTGTATGGCATCACAATGGATGCATAAAGAAATGGGTGATTTTGTACGCGCAATACAGGAACGTATAGCTTTGGCCAGTATTCATCCAATTCATTATAAAAATTATCAAAAATCCTATCCAGAAAAAAAACAATCAATCAATTCTGATCAAAACAATATGATTATGAACGGGTTACGTCCAATAGTCAATGATGGCGAATATCATTGTTTAGAACAGATTTGTATGATGCACGATTCATTTTATTTCACTGTAATGGATATGTTTGATCTAAAAAATTCATTTATGTTATCATTAGCTAGTTATGTATTAAGTAATGCAATATTGCTTATTCAGACCAAAGATTCATCTATCAATATATTAAACAATTCAAATTCATTAATTATTTAAATTTGATGTGTTTTTTTAAACTTTAGAATTATATATTGAATGTTTCATATTTGTTCATAATTATGTTTTTTTAGAAAAAATGATAATTATAAAGATAATCATCAACGAATTTCTATTGTTCAATAAAAATGATTCTTTCGTGACTTTTGAGATAAAAAGTAAATAATATTTCTTTTTTAGCTTCGTATTAATAATATCAAAAAAGGGATCTGTAGCATAGTAAACACACGCACAAACCGAATTTATGGATAAAAATATTTTAAAATTTTAAAATAAGAAAATGTTTTTAATTTGAAAAAAATAGAATGATTTTTGACTATTCAACAAAATGGACTCGTTTTTTATGGGCAATCGATTTATTCAAATCGAAAATGTTTACCAAAGTAAAAAAAATTGCACTATTTTATCATTAATGATTTTTTTCAAGTTAAAATAAATTGATCGATTCGTATGTGGAATATGATATTCATATTTAATCATTCAAAATTTTTACCATTTTCAAACAAATTGACAATGACAAAAATTTATCATCAAGATGAACTACAATCGTCGATACCATCTAAACGAATAATGTCGAAAAATATTAATAATTATCTGTATCGGATAATATTGTTTCAAACAATATTCGGATGTTCATATAATGGTGAATATTTTCATCCAAATAAATTGAAAACATCAAAAAAATATCTGGTCAGAACAATTATCATGATACAGCAAGTATTATATGGAATTCCATCAGCATGGTTTTGGTATTTATCCACTACAAGCTATTCAGCTGATTTTCTATACAATGATTCAACTGTACATGATACAATGGATTATCTATCACATCTATTTCATGTATGTGTTTTGGTAACATATTGTTTTGATAAATTGACAAATATTTTTCGTGGACATCGTATTATTGTCATTCTAAATAATATTGATACAGGCATAAATTTATCGAATAGTCATCGTTTATTTCATTATAAACTAATCTATCTATTTATTATCTCTGTAATGATACTATATTCTATATCATTCAGTTTTGTTGCATCAATCATTGAAAATCATTCCATACAAATTGTTTTTGGTTTTGGAATTGCTGGATTTGTGTATGCAACACATGTATCATGGTTGACTACCATCCATATTTATACAGCAATTCTGGTGAATGAACGAATTCAAAGTAAGTAAATGTTACAGAATATCATTTTAAAATCTAATAATTATCATAAAATATAAAGTTTACAAAGAACAATTACCTAAATTTTCAAATTATGGTATCTTATTGCAAGAAATGATACGTTTACGTGATAATATTCGTCATATTAATAATCTTTTATCGGCAGCATTGTTAACAAAAACATTGACCAATGGTTTGATGATGGCAACCTGCATCTGTATATTAGATCATCAATTTAATATGCCGAAAATCGGATGGTTACCTATGATTTCTATATTCACACATTTGACTCCAATGTTTATTGATCTATTGACCAGTTGTATGGCATCACAATGGATGCATAAAGAAATGGGTGATTTTGTAGATGCAATACAAGAACGTATAGCATTGGCCAGTATTTATCGCATTCATTATAATAATTATCAAAAATCCTATCCAGAAAGAAAACAATCAATAAATTCTAATCAAAACAATATGATTATGAACGGGTTACGTCCAATAATCGATGATGGTGAATATCATTGTTTAGAACAGATTTGTATGATGCATGATTCATTCTATTTTACTGTAATGGACATGTATGATCTAAAAAATTCATTTATGTTATCATTAGCTAGTTATGTATTAAGTAATGCCATATTGCTTATTCAGACCAAAGATTCATGAATTATATAGAATGTTTCATATTTGTTTATAATTGTTTTTAGAATAAAATAATTTTACTGATCAAAAAAAGTTTCGCCATTAAAAGAGCTATCTATCAAATGATTAATCATAATCATCAGCAAATTTCTAAAGTTTAATAAAAAATAATTCTTACGTGACTTTTGAAATAAAAGTAAATAATTTGAAACAATATTTTTGCTCAATATCAATAATATCGTATAGCAAACACACGAACGAACCGAATTTATTGATAAAAATATTTTAAAATTACAAATATGAAAATTTTATAGGCAGGAAAAAGTTTGAAAATGAAAAAAATAAAAATATAATGATTATTTTGACTATTCAACAGAATGAATTCATTTTTTTTTGTATGATCGATTTATTCAAATCGAAATTGTTTACCAAAGTAACAAAAATAAAAATTTATCATTAATAATTTTTTTAGTTGGAATAAATTTATCGATTCGTATGTGGAATATGATATTCATTTAATGTTTGCCATTCTCAAATAATTTGTCAATGACAAAAGTTCATCCGTTAGATCAATCACAATCGTCAATATTATTTAGAAGGAATAATGTCGAATAATAATTATCTGTATCGGATAATATTGTTTCAAACAATATTCGGATGTTCATATAATGGTGAATATTTT